AAAATTCATTATAGGTAAGGGTCTTGTTGACAGGAAACATTCACAAAGGAAGGCTACAAAACAGCAGAAATACTATTGCATGTACATGAATGGCCGCATGGTTTCATCAACATCAGTCACAGCTATTGGGTAAAATTATTCTTTTCAGCTCCCAAAAGACTTCCCAGAATTTTTCGAATAGTTCGGAAAAAATAGAGTGAAATTACAATAAAAGAAGTGACTGTGGAATTATTCATGTGTCCACGTTTGTGCCCTGCAAGAGTGATATTGTTTACCAGATCCCTCTTACATGTGGGCAGTCACACGCGGAGCTGAGCGGTCATTGCATGTGAGAGAAACTTGTTATAGAACTCGAACACGTCGCATTTTGCAGCGCACTGTAGCGCGTGTGGCTGTCCACCTGTCTTTGCCGATACAGAGGCCTTCCATGGGGGCTTGGTCTGTAAAGAAGCAGCCTGCGTGCTCTCGCCTAACGCGTGGACTAAACCCAGCATTTAATTTGGTACCCTGGCCATATGGGCTCCAACGCCCACTCTGTCGTGCCTAATGCCAACGAGTTTCCCACTCCCAGACGCGAGACCTTACTCACTGCGTCAGGAGAGAAGGTTGCCCACGGCCTAAGGGCGAGAAATGACTCCGGAACCAACTGCAGACCTATAATTAAATCTGTCATCACTATCATTATGAATGGCAACAGTTTCCGTTACCGCACCCTCCACTTAAACGAGCACAAGCACTATCTTTCCATGTTCTAAAGACAGGAGCATATCCCTCACCGGCAGTTTACGCCAGATTCATAAGCAAACTAAGGCCAAAATGCCCTCGATGCGGCGTCTCGCGCTGCGATTTACAACGTATGCTGTGGCAACGGCTCGAGTTGCAGGCGGACGACGGGTCTCCAAACACAGGAAAGAACTGGAATAGGAGACTTTCCTCACAAGTCCTCACGAGGACCACAAACTTCGGGTCGTCTAGAGGGCTCATGACCTGTCCGTCGAGTTTCACCTCCCGGTTTCGTCATGGGCGCAGCCCGCTGACGAGACCCGTTATTGGGTCATCGCCTCCCAGAACCAAATAAAGGTATTCAGTCAGTCAGACCGAGATTTTGTCGAAGTACAGATCCCAGATAACCAGACAAGTGATAGAGGCTTGCCATGTTAAACGAGTGGATGAAGCATGCGTCAGTGAGGCATCGCTATATCTCACAGAAAAATAGTTCGCATATTGATTGATCGTTATGTGTGGTTTAACGTCCCAAAACGGCCATATAGGTATGAGAGATGCCGTAGGGGAGGGCTCCAGAAATTTCCACCTCACGGGGTACTTTAACGTACTCCCGAATCTGAGTACATGGGCATACAGCATTTTCATCTCCATCGAAAATGCAGAAGCCGCCGGGATTCAATCGCGTGACCTGCAGGTCAGCAGCCGAGTACCTTGGTGACTAGACCACCGCAGCGGGGCAAAATTTCGCATATCATCTAACTCCTTATTGTACCGTCAAGTCATACCCTATGTACGTTTTGTATTCCTTTTTAACACTTATGTGCAATGTTGTTACTCTTCTTTTCTTTACGTGCTTGTGTTCTTCAAATAGAACTTTCCTTTGCGAATCAGCGCTCCTTCTGTCCCTTCTGTTTTTGCCTTCATCATTTTCGCACTGTAATCAAAAATGCATAAAAAGAGCTTGTTTTTGACCTAGCTGGTGAAATACACAAGGAACAGTTGGCTCCTTAAAAACAACCGCACGCAATAAGCAGTCATTGACGTGTTTTTGTTTTTGTGTTCCTGTTTTTTAGCAGGAAAGTGTGCATTCACAAGGGGTAAAGGTTAGTGCAAGCTTCCTCCTGTTTATTCCCAGTTTCTTGGAGCCACATACATATGCATTGGCATGTTTATTAGGAGCGCTAAACATGCATTGGCATGTTTAGCGTACTGCAAGGCCACCACGGCTCATGAAAAGTTGGACGCGCCTCACACCCTAGAATCCTCATATATTAGCGACACATCAGTCTTACTGTATTGGGCTCAAAGTTTTTCTGAGAATACTGTGATGAGGCTGGCTATAAGTTTTGAGAAGAAAATGCAAATGTTTCAATTGTCGTAAAATTTTTCTTGTGTAATAAGATGAAAATAATTGTTCAGCAACAAATTATATAATTTCACAATTGCGGGTGTACACCGCGCACTCTTTCTCCACAAATATTTTTCTTCTACAGAGCAATTCCTTCGTACACATCATGGCCTTTTTAGTGGCATTTACTTCATATCTGTGTCACTTTCGCTATCACAGGTTACCACTGTACTGCCACCGTTCAGCAAGGGAATAACAGGTCAGCAATGGCAGAAGCGTGTTTCTGGTGTTCACTATAAAGTACTCAGATACGTCAATACAGTGTCTGCGCTGGTCACAGCGCTCGCCCAGCTTACAACTGTGTGCCTGGCTAACCTTCCTGCCTTCCCTCTTGCTGTTCTTGTACTTCCTTCCAGCTTACAACTCAGGGTCACCGTGGAAAGAAGAAGGCAACGCGCATGCACAACATAAAGACTCACAAAAGAAAGGAACACGATAATAGGGCACTCCTGGCATGGGTTCCCCTTGTAAATGTTCTAGCTTGCGGCTGAATAACAATGTCAATAAATGAGTACTAACCAAGCCAGCAAACAGTCTCGTTAAAACGTATCTGTATACGCAACCATGGGCGGCATGGTTTGCCTGTCGCACGCCTGATTTGCACCCCTCGCCATAGAGGAAACCCGTCATAATGGTCTAGTAGTGGTTATGGTGTCAGACTCAGGACCCGCAGGTGGCGGAGTCAAATCATGACCGTAGCGGCCACATCTTCGATGGAGCTGAAAACGTACGAGGCCTGTGTACTTAGCAAAGGTTGATTGCGTGACTTGTTGGTGTAACATGTTCTGAAAGTTATGCGCTGCACTGAATTGACGAGGACGTGACAAGGAGAGCGCTTGCGTCTGTTTTCCCTGTCCAGTTCTCGTCATTCCAGTGCCGCGCCTAATTTTGAGAACCGCGCACCCGTCGCGGTGGTCTAGTGGCTAATGTGCTCAGCTGCTGACTCGCAGGTCGCGGGATTGAATCCCGGCGGCGGCGGCAGCGGCTGCATTTTCGATGAAGGCAAAAATGCTGTAGGCCCGTGTGCTCAGATTTGGGTGCACGTTAAGGAACTCCATCTGGTCGAAATTTCCGGAGTCCTCCACTACGGCGCCTCTCATAATAATATCGTAGTTTTGGTACGTCAAATTTCACATATCAATTAACTTTGAGAACCGTGTTCCTAGATTTAGGTTCACGCTAAAGAACCTCTGGTTGTCGAAATTTTCAGAGCCCTCAAATAGGGCGTCTCTTGTAATAATTTTGTTGTTTTATGATACTTACACTTTACTATTACTAATAATATTTAAGTATTGGTAATATTTATACTATAAAAATTACTATTAAAAGGAGATAGTAACACGGGCGAAGGGATGGTTACCGATGAAGAGCAGGTTTTTCTCTTGTATGTACTGCTTATTAGTAAATATTTTTGTGAGGCTAGCTGGTGCATGTTACGAGAAAATTAGACACAGGGAAAGAATAGGTGAAATTAAGAGCGTCATCGCAATTAACCTTATTTCTGCAAGATCATCACAATTCACCGACCATGCTACCCATGCGCAATAACACATCACACGTCACATCGCACAATGACGCACTCAATGCACGTGCTAGTGGAGAACTTGTCAAAAAATACAATTCGGCAGATATATGTTTTCTTTCTGACCAAGTAGCCCCTCTCGCTCCATCGCTTCCTTGCTTGTACCTAGAATGGGGATATTAGCAAATGTTGTCTCACATCTTTATGCACTGAAGTACATATAGAGGCAAATGTGCTACGCTCTTTCGTTTCGAGTATTTTTTACTGGTAGTTTACATCTAATGATTTTCTTGTAATCTGCACTCCTCCTACCCTACATCTCAAATGGGGAATGAGTTGGTGCCTATACGAACTGTAAATGAGAAAATGATGCAGTCATTCATGTTATCATATTTTTTGTTCTTTTATTTCTTATCTTTCTGTTTAAACACCACAATAGATTATCAAGCATGAGGTCATATACGTATGAGAAAGTAAATATGGTGTTAACTTTTTCAGTACACGAATATGAAAAGATAATAATTTCTTCACATTCAATGGTGTGTGTATACTCTCATGCCGGTTTTCTAGTTAAGGCACGCACGCTGTCTTTTTGAAAACTGGAGGAGCAAGCCCACCTCTGTGTAGTTCACATAGACATTTAGTGCTTACTGGTGGCATGGTAGGCTACTCAAGGACTAATTCAGTAATATGCACAGTTCGCGTGGTTGTCATAATTATAATATTTCGTGTTTTACACTGCAAATCCAATATATGAATATGAGAGACAGCATAATAAGAGCTCCAGAAATTTGACTACCGTGGTGTACTTTAAAGTGCACTGACATCACACAGTACACAGACGTCTACTATTCCGCTGCCTTCGAAATGCGACTGACACTGCTGGGATCGAACCCGCTACCTTCTGGTCAGCAACCGAGCACTGTAATGACTGTTCAACCCGAACCTTCTATGAAGAGGACATGCTTCACTCACCTGTGGGCATGCAGTTCGCGTGGATGTCGCGTCCAGAGTATCCTGCCACCTTTTCTTTGGCTGCGGAGGTCGGAAGCGAAGTTTGTCCAGGGGCGGCTCTGCATACGGTATTCCGACGTACTCTTCTACGGGTTCGTTGTCCAAGACGTGAACCACTTTGCCGCGCACACGGCCCTCGGTGGTCTCCCTCTCGACGTGCATGTCCTCAGCCGTAGCGGTGAGATTGAAGGCGAGAATGACGCCAATCAGCACAGCTGCTTTCACCGCCATGTTCGCTAGTACCAGTGCCTGCAGGGGGAATAGAAACATGACAATCGCTTAGTGGTGGCCCGAGGGTGAAACAAATCGCTGAACGGCGGACAGAGCATACCATTTTTGTGATTTTTTAGCACTACAACCTCCGCTGTTTCTGTAACTGCAAAGTAATTTTAAGCAGAAAACCAGACACTCTCGTGGTTTCACAATCAAGAAAGAGCAATAACAAGCGAACAGGTAGTGGAATAAAATCACTTCATAGAAAAATTGATGTCCTCATGGAGACAGATTGACTATTATTCATTAAAGAAGACCCCTGGGGTAAGGGTAAATTCCTTGCTCCTTTACTTCACAGAAACGTCTGGCGCTTTATTATAACCGATAGTTGGCCGGCTTCAAGTGGGTTCGTATTAAAAGCCAAAACAACGAGAGGAAGCAAAAAAAAAACGAAGGCGAGAGAAGAAAAAAATAGGCGTTGCGTTTGCCGTTCATTATTAGTCTTTTTTTGATACTGCTTTTACGTTTTGTGAGTGCGCGTCACCTGTGTTTGAGTCATGGTCATCTGCCCTTTTCGCAAGTTTTCTCTCGCATCTTGAACAAACCATGCTCGCGACGCTGTTGTGGATTTGGACTTAAAGGTAAATATGACGGTGACGATGAAAATTCGCCTCAAGTTTTGATGTTATTGATCTCGCAATAAAAGAGATAAAAGTACACTCGCGGAAATGCAGCACCTCGAAGTGGGTTCTCGTAAAACGTTGCAGGCACGCTCTGTGGCGACAGGAGTAACATCTACGCCGTCTCAGCGCCAAGTCCTTCACGGATGCAATGTTTTTCACTCACGTCGCTACTACCGAGACAGGGTACTGAATCTGTACAACAAATATTCACACGTCACGAAAGCGAAGAAAAAAAGCTTATAACGATTTGGCCAGTTGATGGCGATAATCAAGGCAGAGCCTTAATGAAGAGGTCAACCTCAATCGAGCGCTAATGTTTTTCAGTAGGAGCATGCACAACCGCGCGACAGGCTGGCCCATTTCACCATTCTGGATATTCTACTGTAGTTCGTGCCAAACAAAAACGTGAAAAGCTGGATCTCTTTGCTGCTGCCCTTTGTCTTCCGCAATGCAACTGGTTGCAGGTAGTTTTTTCAATGGAAAGGCAACAGAATTGCTGTAACTTCAATGTTACCTAAACTACGCGACCTATTACAAAATACAATCATTGATCGGATGTGGTATTCATGACTTACGTGTAATCAAATGGGCGAAACCTGCTGGGCACGAGTTTTTGTGGCACTTATGTTATAAAGGTTGTTGAGAATATATTTCTCACAAAACAATTTATTCACCGCATGTGCTAACGCATTAAACAGCTCAGAAGGAGAAGTCACTCGATTGACTCTATTTCTTTTGAACAGAAAAAAAATGCCTCGTTCACCTCACTTGCTTAGAAAAACAATTTTTTTTCGTTTCATTAGAACATGTGACGCACTCATGCTGGGGATTCCTGCTTGCGCATGTATCAATTTGCGCCTCACTGAGAAGAAAAGACAAAAAGCAAATGCACAACGAAAGTTTAGGAAGAAGAAAATCAACATGAACTTTTCGCAAGTCTGTCCAAGAAGCAGAAAACATTACTTCTTTCTTCGTTCCGTATAATCTTGCGCAATGCATGTATCGTACGTGCTCAATGTGCCATTTGCATATTTCGACCCTACCAGACATGGAGCACTGCCAGAAATTGTTTCGGTGAGTGGTCTTCATAGACCTTCACTTTCATCGACAGGAAAACTTGGCTCTTAATAGGATGAGTCACCGTAAAATTGCAGCCTTATGGCGGGCGAAGGAAATGTAGCCGACTAAGCCTGCTTAGGAGTAACCGTTTACTTGATGTTAATATCGATCCACGTTTGGAGCTCTTTGAAGTATGCGGTCATATTCGAGGTGGCTTGAATGAACGCATTTGCAAGTTATCGTGGCAGGTGGCACTTCCCAGAATGTGCTGAAACAAGCGCAGAGAAACTTCAAAAGAAAAGTCTGAAATTAGTTCGACGGCCCGATATACAACTTTCAATGAAATTGCTGCCCCTGCTGCCGCAGTGGTCTAGAGGCTATGGTACTCGGCTGCTGGCATGCATGTCACGGGATCAACTCTCGGCTGCGGTGGCTACGATTTCAATTGAGGTGAAAATCTGTATGCCCATGTGCTCAGATATGGATGCACGTTAAAGAACCCCTGGTGCTCAGAACTTCCGCAGCCCTCCACTACGGCATCTCTCATAATCATTTGGTGGTTTTGAGACGTTAAACCCATCGTATAATCTTCAATGAATTTCTTGTATTTGCGAGGCGAAAGTTGGTGCTAAATTGACTTCAGGACACCGCTATTTTGTAATGTAAAAAACACGTTTCACGGCAATACAAGGATTCTTTTTTATACAGCCAACTAGCAACGCAGCTGTTCAGCAAATCCCTCTTTGTCCGACAAACCCAAGAACTATCAGCTTTAGTAAGGGTATGTTCCACAAGAATTCAACCAACCGAACAATAAATTCTGCTTCACTAAAATGAAGAAGGTAATTAACTAGGCTCCAATATTTTTTTTTTCGCTCTTTTACCCGTAGGGCCACGGGACGGCCAAGTGGTTTCCCATAGTAGAGTACCAAGTACTCTAAATAGTTCACCAGTTTTTTTCTTAACAGAGAAATTACCCAAAGATATTTGGTTGATTCAACTACTCATCTCTGATCTACTAAAAAAAGCGGTAATCTATCATATGCAAAGCACAAAGTTGATATGTCGCTTTAAAACGAGCTCGACGTTGCGATGCGGACATGAATTATGCCGTAAATCACTTCCATGTCATGGTTATGCTTGCGCCTAAAATTTGTGTTCGTCGTTCATTCACGTCACAAAATGCCAAAATTAGTATTTAAAGAGTACCCTCCGCGCCCTTCGCGCCATCTCGCAAGTGATAATAAAAGCACGCTATAACTACTGGGGTCTGTGTATTATCATGTGTTGTCTACAAAGCTGGTCATTAGAAAGCTTTAAAACGCATGACTTCAGCCTGAGTCACCTCGCGCAACCCGCTAGACAATGAGAGGTCGCAGTTTCGACTTCCGGCGACAAAATGTTTATTCCAGCTTTTTCTTCACCATCTGTCAATGTATAATTTACAAGGTCATATGCATTACGCAAGTACTTTAGTGAAGCCACAATGGACCTCGGCATAAAATACTCTCGTGTAAAAAAAGAGGCTGAAATTCTGAGTGTTTTCTACGCATAAACAAGAACAAAATCTTGGGATATGCTAGGTATAGTAACGACTCTGAGTCATACTTTAGACCTCCAGCTTTTGAACGTGTGCTCAAAGTACACCTGGCACTGAGCATGGTCAACTGATTCAATTTCTGGCTTGAATGTGAGTCCTGGTTGCCTAGGCGGTAATGTCGCATCTATACAGAGCAGCAATGTGTCGCACATTACCGGTAGACTATTATACCGTTCGGTGGGGGCTTACACAGTAAACGATTGTTAGTAGCACAAAAAAAAAAGCACCGGTCCTTGTCAGCCTCGTCTTTGTGTCTATTTTCGTTTGCGCTATTTTCACTAAAAAGTCACTTTGCCCCGCCGCGGTGGTCTAGTGGCTAAGGTACTCGGCTGCTGACCCACAGGTCGCGGGTTCGGATCCCGACTGCGGCGGCTGCATTTCCGATGGAGGCGGGAATGTTGTAGGCCCGTGTGCTCAGATTTGGGCGCACGTTAAAGAACCCCAGGTGGTCGAAATTTCCGGAGCCCTCCACTACGGCGTCTCTCATAATCATATGGTGGTTTTGGGACGTTAAACCCCACATATCAATCAATCAACTAAAAAGTCACTTTGCCGACGAAGTGCATCACCTGTACTTTCTCTTTGCGTTTCCTGTTTCAAACTAGGCCATCCCGACATAATTGCCTCCCTTAGAACACAGCGTTGAAGCACCACTGCAGCTGCACTGGCGCAATGAAGCACTCGCCTCGTGAGTTATCCAGACTGCTGCGGAACCCGGCTGAAAGGGCAGTGTGCCAGACGGGCCTACAAGGTGCCCGATAAGCCGTACCGGCCGGAAATAGTATCAATGAACTCGTGTGCTTCCCAGCAGAGAAGAGAGCAATTTTCTGCAGATGCAATAGTCTAGTACAGGAAAGGGCTTTTTTTTTTTACTCGTGATTTCGTTTCAATAAAGCCCGACAAACATCCGCTGACTGCGCTCGAATGACGAGTGATCATTTTTAGCCACATTTCAAAAGTCTTTGCAGCTTTTTCTTCATCCTGTATAGCCATTAATCAAAAACGGTATGTCGCACTATCAAACAATAATTTACGGATTTTGCAGTCTATAGGCTGCGCAATGTTTTAAACCACGAAGCTGGACGATTCGGAAGACTAACATGGTTCCTTCTCTACATTATTTCTAGGCCTTATCTAGGTGATGCAGCTTCTTTCTACGTTGGTTTTCAGCGTAGACTACACATAGTCTTAAACATCGCGTATGTCTGAACTACAGAGACAGAAACTCACCACTCTGATGCAGATACGGTATGTCGTGGTTGGCACAGGCCTTCGACCGGTACGGGGCGCCCTAGCAGCCGCCGTTGCCTCTTCCATTTTCTAGTATCCTCTAGTTGTAATATGTACTTGGGTTCACCGCCATCATTTTACTGTCATCTTATGGTCATTGTGTTGATGATGTTCCTCTCACATCTACGGCACTCACCCACAAATGGTTGAGTTTCACCGCCGATGGATGGCTGGGGCTTCGTCAAGTTGTCACGGGACAGCTTTTCTCACGGCTACCTTTTTTCACCATAAATGTTTGTTTTTGGTTAAAACCAAGTTCTTCGATCGATTGATTGATTGATTGATTGATGATTGATTGATTGATTGATTGATTGATTGATTGATTGATTGATTGATTGAAGGGGGTCGGCTAAGAACCGGGTGACAGGATCTTCAAGTTAGTGGGTTATGTATCTAAAGACATCCGATGGAAAGTAAGTCTATGAAATTAAATCGTCAATAATGACTCAAAATTCTGCACGAGGCAACGGTCAGGCAATCAAATTTGTTCGGAGCTGAAAATAAGAATGTGCAAACAAGGCAATCTTTTTGTTTCCTCCATCTACGGAAACACAGCATAGCAATCCTCTCTGTGACTATAACCTAATGTCCCTCCAAAAGATAAAATTACTGCGCATTTATTTCTAAATCTGGCTTTTCAATTGTATCGACAAGGTATTGTTTCTTTATAAGAATGCCAGCGACAGAATAATAAGATGTGGTGTATTGTTTTTATCTCCTTGAAAAACAGAGGCAACGGAGACGCATGAGCCCAGCTAAATAATAATTCAGATGCAGAGTTCTACAGCGTAATTTTCTCGGCTCAATGTTGCCTTTTTTATTTCCACTTGACCAGTGCTGAGTGGGAGGTATTCGCCCAATTTCTGTGCCTGCCTCCGATGACGATAGTTTTCGCGTAACCCACACACACAGGTGAAACATGACACATGACAACATGCTACGCTCTATAGCGTGCTCACGGCCGTTTCGCTAGCTTCACATAATCCAAATTTCGTAATTACGTAACGTGAATGGATGACGAAGATAAGTGACATGTCCCACATTGATAATCAAGACATGCGTGTCATGTAAAACGTGACTACATGCTACGCACATAGCGCGTTCGCGGCCGTTTCGCTATCCTCACATATACTGAATTTGGTATTACGGGACGTAAATGGACGGCAAACACAAAAGCTATAGGTGCCAACGTGATAATCATGGCACTTGAAGTCATGAACGGCATAATATACATGCCTACCACTACTAGTTCCGGTATTGCAAACGTTAGTAGTGCCATCGTTTATCGAATATAAACAATATACTTGCATTTTATCTAGACCCATGAGGGTGCCCAACATGATTACTTGTTTCTGCTGTGTACTATGTCCAACCGCCACATAACATTGCTGATATTCAAGTGACATATCAACCTTCCTTATTTGTGCTTCGCATATGATCGATTCTCACTGTGCATGGGATCTGCCATTTCCATTTAAGTGCTTCCGCGTATGTGCAATGTTTCCTGTTAGTATGGAATCTACAGAACTGTGTAGTTTTAATCAAATAATGAAAACATCACTTTTCACAAGCAATTAGGTTCAAGTTTTTTTATTGGACTCAAAACAACGCTACTAATTCTATGATTTCTATTGGACGTCCTCAGATAAAGACAAACCGCAAAGAAACACTTTCAGTCCTTCGAAACCTATTCGTTATCCGTGCACTGCTAGTTTTTATACTTCCACAATTGAATAGTGTGTGAAAAGTCGTCGCTGGCCCCGCCGCGGTGGTCTAGTGGCTAAGGTACTCGGCTGCTGACCCGCACGTCGTGGGTTCGAATCCCGGCTGCGGCGGCTGCATTTTCGATGGAGGCGGAAATGTTGTAGGCCCGAATACTCAGATTTTGGTGCACGTTAAAGAACCCCAGGTGGTCGAAATTTCCGGAGCCCTCCACTACAGCGTCTCTCATAATCATATGGTGGTTTCGGGACGTTAAACCCCACATATCAATCAATCAAAAGTCGTCGCTGTGTGCGGACTCAACTATCAGGTTATCGCTCACCTCAGTTTGATCCTAATCACAAGATTGAGGCTGATTTTTACAGCACAAACATCTATCTTATTGCCTCGTAATAAGCCCATCTAACGGCTGCAGCTGCCGTCCCGCTGACTTTGTGCCAAGTTTTATCTCTATGTCTCAAACACACTTGACCTCTAGGCATTCAATGCGGCCACCCTGCTTTGTCATCCGATGTCTTCCCTATCAATATTTTTCTACACGTATGCTGTTTTCCCAGCTTTGTATGCCTTTTCAGAAAATTTGTACGTTTATATTATACCGCTATTATCATAGCAAACAGCACACTTTTTCTATTTGTATTTTCTTTATGACAGTTCAGTCTGTTAATTTATTTTTGTTTTCTGTGTCATCCACTTTTTATACACTATATCGGAGTGGAGCTATCGTTATTGTCGTCATCCGAGGGTTGTAATCGTGGCATCAGAAACGATCATCATCATCACCAGCAAGAATGCGCCGCTCGCCCGGTTCGTGACGCTCGCGCTACGAGTGAACTCGGGTTTGCCTGATTTCATGCTGATGCGGAATAAATGACGTGCGACAGATGTTTCGTTGAGCGAGTGCCATGTGTTGTAACAATAATACCAATACTTCCTTTACCCGTAAAAATAATTTTATTTATAAATAATAATTGACTAGTAAAAATGTTATGCTATGGTTTGCTATAAATGTGGTTCAATATCATGTTTTATAAATAATTGCCCTTTTTGATCACTTTTTCTCAAAGCACAAGGAAGAAAATGTAGACAATTGGATATGGCCCAGTTCCTGCGGCTGGGAACCGCTTTGAAACGCATGTAATGCAGTCAAGAAGACACGTGACAAGTCTACGAGAGAGACTGTCGTAGTGAAGTCTATCTCTTTTCTGGGTTTCGTGTGCATCACCACTCCGCTGCCTAATATCAGTGAAAAGTAACTGTCGTTCCCAATGAATTAGTTATTGTGCACCTAATATGTATTGTGCTTTCTCGGCAGCAATATAAGTGGTACAAAGTGGCAATAAAATATTCTGTTGAAAGTCAGCGCCTGTGCTATTCAGTGTTATTTTTCTCGTCATCAACGAGAATGCACATACGGTCATCGCCATTTTGCTGGAATGCGTCTGTTTGCTAAAACTGTCCGCATAGCTGTACATAGAAGACATGATACTTAAATATAGTGCGCCAATGTAAAGTCTGCAGTCAAGTCGACAGCATGTCAAAGCAAATCGCTTTGTTAGACTTTTTAAAGAAACTTTTAAGCATTTGCCCGAACAGTAAACGAAACGTTGCATATTACGAATGTTAGGCGATGGTTTGAGTACGCACGCGCAGCATGGGACCCTTTCAAATGTTCTAGAAGACAAGCTAGAGCGAGTCCAAAAAGGAGCTGCAAGACTCGTCACAGGAAAGTATTTTTAATAACTTCGAAGTTCCCAATTCATGGAAGAATCGGATTGAAATTACTTTCCACACGCAGAAAGATAATCAGGCGAAAGCTTTTGCGTTACATTCACAGCGGTAGCTGTAACAGTGGGAGACTGTCTCTCTAGTCACCTAATAAGGAAGGGGTGCATCGACATAATAGGGAGGAAAGCATTTGTACAAAACATTTCCCCCTCCGCCCCCCCCCTCCTCGCATCCCTAACGGGAAATTCTACGCACGCTTTTGCGTGCCATTCAAAACATCAACCTAAAGTACGGTGGTGAGGCGAAAAAGATTCAGTAAAAGCAACAAACAACGTAAAAAAGGCCTATTACAAGAGAGGATTGTATGTCGTGTAAATGAAGCGTGGCCTGCTGCGCAGTCTGAGTGGGACATACGACAAGCCAATTGCAACAGACATTCCGGCAACACCTGTACCGTCCGAATCAAATGGATATATAAAACACAAGACATACTTTGAAATGCATCCGAAAAAATATATAGAAGCAAGACGAATAAGTTCATGCTAATAAGTAGATTTCAGATTAGGAATGCTGTCACCATTTATTGCTCATCAGATTTTGAAAGATCGTTGTCCATTAGAATTCCACCAACAGGAACTGTACCACGTTAACGGTTATACCAGCTGTGCGGAAGAACTATGCTTGACTTCGCTACTGATTTGTTTCCTAGCAAATTTCTCTGACTAATCCGGTATAAAATATGAAAAAATATATACTAGTTCTCGTGCCATCAATGTTTATTATTAATATTAGGTGCATACAATAATAACATCTGAAGCTTTAGTCCCGAAACCACGATATGATTATGAGGCTGCTGCAGTGGAGGGCCCCAGGTCGTCTGCTCTTTAGTGTGCACTGGCAGCGCACAGTACATTCAATCTCTGCCGTTTTACCTCCATCGAAACGCGACCGCCATGGCTAGGATCGAACCCATGACCTTCGGCTGAACAGTCGAGCACCTGAGCCACTGTTCTATTGCGCTCCTCAATAGGCACGTGAAAAGCACAATCGGCACATATGGTATACTGACATGGACGTCGTGCAGAATCTACAGCAGAACCACGCAAGTGCAGAAATAAAAATAACGCATCGAAGCAAGGAAGGCAGAGGGAAAGCACACGAACTGTCGTCCACATCGCCGTTATCCTTCAGGAGTCAAGGACGTTCGCGCGTGTCTTTTAGCTCATACGGAGCCTCCATTCCGGCCTGTAACAACGTGCTCCGAATTAGAACTAAAGAGAATCTTTAACTATGGGGATATTTTTTTCACGAAATGCTAGCTGTGCGAAATGCGTGCACAAAATATATCGTTTAAACCGAACTTAGAGATTGTTATACATACGGTGTAGTTGCGCTCCTTCACAGCGCTCCGGTGCTTGTTATACTTTATGCTCTACAAATGTGTTACACCTGGAACCTCCATTTTCTGTCTGTCGAACAGTGCATTCAAAATGTTAATGAACTACATTATTACGTGCAACGGTTCACATTATCGGAAAGCCCAAAGTTCTATCGATGGAAGCTATTCGCCACGTTACGCAAATGGACGAGTAGAGGCAAACCCATAAGATGTTGCGCTTCACCTATGTTTCCGTTTAAGAAACGCAAGGGGTTGCTTATCAGTGTCGTTAGTTCAAGCGTTAAGAGATAACGAAACCGTGTTGGACACTGGCGCTCACACTCACCGAAACCAGTCAGTAGCGAACCTCGCGCTCGACACACGGGTCAGCGCTCCAAGTGCCCGTCAAATAGCGATGCGCTGGCTGCGCTGCTCACAACCGGGCTCGCGTTGCGCTATCTGGCTGTACCGCGAAAGCTGGTGCCCGCTCGTGAAAGAAGGAAAACGAGCGAGGAACGTCGCTCGTTAAAACAGAGGGTGGAAAAGGAAAATGTAATAATAAAAGAACACGCTGTTTCCTGAGCCGCCGTTGACTCGTATGCGTGTCAGGGTCGAATCGGACGGAACGTGCGTCTTTTCCTGGTGAGCGGCTCGACGTAATCCTCCGGCGTTGAGAAATAAGTGAAAGGATGACCGAAGTGACGACTATCGCCATCGCCACTGCCGGAGAAAGCGCCACCTTCGCTGAGTACCTCTTGCAGCAGCGGCAGCCGATATCCAGAGCTACAAACTAGCTGCCGGCACAGAGAGGAACACATGAAAAAGAAAACGCAGGGCAGTTAACCTCCTAGACAAAACAGGTTTGCTACCATGCGCAGGGGTGGATAATTAGGGGTGATAGAAAACAAGGAAAGAAAGACAGATAAATAAAAACGTTTAAAAAAGTTGGCAAAACTGTTGTAAGCTTCGCTTATAATATGGACTTGGACTTCTTTTCATATAATGACAGGACTTGGGCTTTGACTAATGGTCAATAGATTGTGTCAGTTGATTGAAAATATATTGCGATCTCCTCAACGGCGATGCATAGATCTTAAGAAATGTACGCACGGTTAGGACGTTAAACCGAGTATGGAGAGAAGGCAAACTTGCTGCATTGTATAAAATATTATTTCAGACAAGTTTTACCAGTTCAAGATATGATTGTAATTATTTGCGTTCGAGAAGAACCACTGGACCCGGTCTGTATACAGGTTCCCAGAAAACTAGACGCAGCCCAACCATAATATTGTCACAAAGACACAGGCACGCAGGTACAAAATAGGGCGTTTACTTTCGCAACCCAAGGGCCAGAAACGCGAACACCAGAGCACGCGCACACAGATCTACTTCGTTGTCCTCTTCAGATGCTGGCTACTATAGTTGCCAGCCTACCTTGCGTCAATTCCCCCCTTTCAAGAGAGACCGTCCCGGTCGATTGATTGAGATGCTAGAGGTGGCCATGAAAGAAAAAAAAATGATCACGTCAATGAAAAAAAAAAGCCCACGCTGTTGTGGATAATAAGGAAAAAGTTCGAAGTGTTCATAAGTGGCGGGCATGGTACGGTTTCATCCGTACTACATGGACTACTTCTGGACGTGGACGTCTTCGGTTTAAACTGGTGTCGGAGCTTTGGGGAACTACCTCGTAATTCACGTCACTGAGGCAGCGCACAACTTCGTAAGGGCCCAAGTAGCGCCGCAATAGCTTCTCCGAAAGCCCACGATGTCGAACTGGTGTCCACACCCATACATAGTCACCTGGTTGATAGTGGACGCTCCTTCGGCCTTGGTTGTAACGGCGAGCGTCGATATCTTGCTGCGCGCGAATGCGGTTCCGTGCAAGCTGGCGGGCTCCCTCGGCTTTCTCAACGAAGTCGTCAACGCTGTCATTTCCGCTGTTGTCCTGGTCTACAGGAAGCATAGCGTCTAACGGTGTTGTGACGCGACGGCCATAAACAAGCTCGAATGGTGTTAGGTCTGTGGTCTCTTGCACAGCGGTGTTATAGGCAAACGTGACGTACGGCAAAATTTCATCCCACGTTTTGTGCTCTACGTCAACATACATAGATAGCATGTCGGCCAATGTTTTGTTTAACCTCTCCGTCAAGCCGTTTGTTTGGGGATGATAAGCTGTTGTTTTCCGGTGGTTGGTGTGCGTCAGCTTGGTGACTTGTTGCAATAACTCTGCCGTAAATGCTGCTCCGCGATCGGTTATGAGAACAGCAGGTGCACCATGGCGCAAAACAATGTCGTGGACAAAGAATCCGGCGACTTCAACTGCAGTTCCCTTAGGCACAGCTTTGGTTTCTGCATAGCGAGTCAGATAGTCGGTCGCGACAATTATCCACTTATTTTCTGAGGATGACGTAGGGAAGGGACCAAGAAGATCCATTCCTACTTGCTGAAATGGTGCTCGAGGTGGATCTAAAGATTGGAGGAAACCGGCGGGCTTTGCGGGTGGAACTTTACGCCTCTGACAGTCACGGCAGGTGCGGACATAGCGCTGAACGGACGAATACAGCTGTGGCCAGTAGTACTTCTGTCGGATGCGCGCTAATGTCCGAGCAAAGCCTAAGTGACCGGCCGAAGGATCGTCGTGGCACGCCTGCAAAACTTCCTCACGCAGTGCCATTGGAACGGCGAGGAGGAAAGTTTCCTGGCTGCTCTCAAGATTTCTCTTGTAGAGAACATTGTTCCGCAGGCAATACGTAGCCAAACCACGCGAGAGTCGGCGTGGGACGACAACGTCTTCTCCTTGAAGATGCTGGATGACAGGAAGTAGCTCAGTGTCCTCACGTTGAAGCTCAGCCATCCGCACCACATCGACGATGCCAAGAAACGGTAAATCTTGTTCAGTGTCAGATGACGTCGGGGAAATAGGAGCACGAGACAGGCAGTCAGCATCTGTATGCTTATGTCCTGATCGGTAGACCACCGTTATGTCGTACTCTTGAAGGCGGAGGCTCCAGCGGGCGAGGCGGCCTGATGGATCCCGTAGATTGGCAAGCCAACAGAGCGAATGGTGGTCACTGACCGCTCGAAATGGCCGGCCGTATAGGTAGGGTCGAAACTTGCTAATGGCCCAAACGACTGCTAGGCACTCTTTTTCGGTGGTAGAGTAATTAGCCTCTGCTTTTGTGAGACTGCGGCTCGCGTAAGCGATCACACGCTCTGCGCCGTTCTGCCATTGAACTAGAATGGCTCCGATTCCCACGTTGCTGGCGTCTGTGTGGATCTCGGTGTCGGCAGTGTCGTCGAAATGTGCCAGCACTGGAGCTGTCTGCAGTCGATTGCGCAGGTCTACGAAGGCTTGTTGTTGTTCTTCCGTCCATACGAAAGGTACATCTGGCCGTGTCAGTCTTGTAAGAGGTTCCGCAATTTTCGAAAATCCTTCGACAAAACGGCGGTAGTACGCACAGAGTCCGAGGAATCGCTGAACAGCCTTTTTGTCTCCCGGACGAGGGAAATCGGCAACGGCAGCCAACTTCTCCGGATCTGGTCGAACACCCCCCGGGCTAACCACGTGGCCGAGAAACTTGAGTTCCTGATAGCCGAAGTAGCACTTTTCGGGCTTGATGGTAAGGTTCGCTCTCCTTATTGCAGTGAGGACACTTTTTAGCCTTGAAATATGCTCGTCAAATGTGGTTGAAAACACAACGACATCATCCAAGTATACAAGACACGTCTGCCACTTTAGTCCAGCTAGTACAGTATCCATCATGCGTTGAAACGTGGCGGGAGCGGAACAGAGACCGAAAGGCAGCACTTTAAATTCGTACAGCCCGTCAGGCGTCACGAACGCGGTTTTCTCACGGTCGCCTTCGTCAACTTCAATTTGCCAGTACCCTGACTTGAGATCTAGTGATGTGAAGAACTGGGCGTGGCGTAGACGGTCTAAGGCGTCATCAATCCGTGGCAGGGGGTAAACGTCGCGTTTCGTGACTTTGTTAAGCCGTCGATAGTCAACGCAGAAGCGTAGTGTGTTGTCTTTTTTCTTTACTAAGACAACAGGTGACGCCCACGGACTTGTCGAGGGTTGGATGACGTCATCATTCAGCATTTCTTGAACTTGACGTTTAATCACCTCTCTTTCCTTCGGGGACACACGGTATGGATGTTGGCGAAGAGGCCGCGCCGACTCCTCGGTAACAATGCGGTGTTTTGTAACGGTGGTACGCTGAACTTTCGATGCGGTGGAGAAGCAGTCCGAGAATTCCCTCACAAGGTTTAGCAGCCGCTCTTTTCGTGAATCTGGCAAGTCTGGATTAACGTGAATGCGGCTTCCCAGGTCAGCACAAGCTTTTGCATGTGGTGAAGTCGTATCCATTGTGCTGATATCGAAAAAGTCGGCTATTTCACTGAGGAAAGCGACAGTAGTCCCTCTAGGAACGTGCTGAAACTCATTGCTGAAGTTGGTCAGCAGAACTCGAGAGCGTTTATTCTCTAACCGAACAAGGCATCGGGCTATGCATATGTTTCGTTTGAGCAGCAGCGGGATATTTGCCTCAGCAATACCTTCATAGTCGTTGAATTCGTCGAAAATGTCGCAGGCTACCAAGGTGAACACGCTACTCTTCGGCGGTAACGTGACGTCATCGTCAACAATTCTCAGAGCATTGACGTAACTGCCGTGAGGGTTGCGCGCTAAAGCGTGTGCCGTAGAAAACGTCACTTGCGACTGTTGCAAATCAATCACGGCTCCATTATCACGCAGAAAGTCCAGTCCGAGAATTATGTCCCTCGAGCAACTCGGCAGTATTATAAAATCTCCGAGATACGTAAATCCGTGAATACTGACTCGCGCTGTGCACCGCCCCACCGGAGTAAGAAGATGGCCCCCTGCCGTACGTATCTGTGACCCAGCCCACTGGGTGGAAACCTTCTTCAGCCTGCAGGCAAGACCCATGCTCATAACAGAGGTGTCTGCTCCAGTGTCAATTAGCGCCATTACTTCTTCGTCGTCCACAGTTACCGCAATGTTTGATGTCACCACTCTTCGCATCCCGTTTGACTGCGTCTGTACATCTTTTTGCTGTTGTCGCTGTCGTCGTAGTGGAGGATCTTCCGTAGAGTCAGCGTCAGCGGCCTCACCTCCGGAGGTCGCTGAACTCAGTTTTCCCGACTTGCAGGACTGGGTGAACGGCGTCTTGGAGCGCCGCGTGAATAGGCTGGGCTCGGTGACCTGTAGCGAGCAGGCGACGACGAGCGAGGCTCTTGTGACCGATGTTCAATACTGCGACGATTCGAGATGAAACTCTCTATTTCCTGTGGTCGCTCGCCAGGTCGTGGACGAGGGGCATTAGGCGAAAATCCACGGAGACCCACACGACGGTATGGACATGTCCGGTAGACGTGTCCGGCTTCCCCGCAGTGGAAGCAAAGGGGCCGGTGGTCGGGTGTACGCCAGATGTCACTCTTTCTCGGTCTTGCTTCGGCGATCAACGGTGAGCTGCGAGGGCGGAAGCCTACCTCCATTTGTTGAGCGTGTCGCTCATTGGGGTAACATACGCTGGTGGAACTGTACGATGGACGACGTCGCACTGCTTCCGCGTAGCTCATCTCGACGCAGTGCCTCTGTTGTGGCGCCTCGGATGGTTGGGGAGCGTGAACGGCTT